AGTTAATTAAAGTTAAAATTAATTAGAAAAGCCATATAAATATTATTCAAAGATCTTATTCAGTTTTTTTTTTTACCAATAAAATCAATTAAATCAAAATTAATTAAAAATATAATATAATTAACGTCTAAACATTTTATCTAGTTAATTTATAATATATTAAACATTTTATTTAGTTAATTTATTAATATATTATATTTTAGACCGAAAAAAAAAGGTCCTTTAATAAGAATTTTACTAAAAAATCTTAATGGAGAGACGACGACTTTCGGTGATACTTGACTTTAGGAAGCAAAACTTGTTCAGGGGTTAACGTATGGCTTTATGGTAATATCTTCTATAAAGAATTTTTCAATGCATGCACAGGTCATTCGTTGAAAATCTTGAATGAAACCTAGTAGTGTATTATTAATTTGCTTTTCAGTATGTATCTTGGAAAATAATGCAGATGTTGGTAATTAATAAATTAAAGGTATTTTCTTTTTAAATATAGAAACCATTGATTAAGGGGGAAAAGGAAAAAAAGATAGAAGAACACTATCTTTTTTGGCTGTTCCCCTTGCTGGAAATGGCTGGAATGAAAGATTATCCCATGTGATTATGGAAAATGGTTTAAGAATAATTTTTTTGCATTATTTTTTTATACAACTTTATCTATCATTTAAATGATTGATTTTTTTTATTCATTTAAGACTCGTAATATTGAATATATCAATTTATTTAATTATGTGTAAAAATTGTATAAAAATATGATATAAAAAATTTATCCATATATCAACATCCTGTGATATTGGTTGTCAAAATGATTTCCAAAGATATCAATTAAGCTGTCTTAATTTGGATGAATGATATGGAAAGTGTTATTTATAAGATAATGAGGTCTCAGACATTTTCTGCTTTAAATTGAAAAAAATAATTATCTCATAGGAAAAGAAGGCTTAAGTTAACTCCTAAGCTATCAGCATGCCCTTTCTCCAGTCTCCAAAGACAGCAGCAGCGATGCTTGCATTGAAATACTCTGCATGTATCAATGCATCCTGATGAAAGCTTATAATGATCTGCCAGCTTTTTAATGCAGCTGGGAAGTGAATGTTTTCAGGCGTTGCTTTTCGTCTCCTCTAATAACATGGTAGATCATCAACAATGCAGGAACGCAAACACTGGTATTGATTATCTACCAGTCAATCATGCCCTTAATAATCCCTTCACAAGCACTTACCCCATCAAATCCTTCATCAAGTCCTTCCCCCTCTTCACTGTTCTGATCGGTATCCATGGCATCTTCAGATTCCTCTTCATCACTTTCATCCTCGTCCTCATAGATTAGAGGAATGGTGGCATTCTCTTCCTCAACAATCTGTCAACAAGAGAAGAGAAGGGAAATAAAAACACTGTATTAGTTATAAGTTATAGGCTTTGGCTCAAAAAGCACTGCTTGCCAAAGCTAAACATGTACCCCAGCATAAAGGAAGTCTAAGCAACTTGATACTTGAAGAGCTGATTCAAAAGTTGACGCCCTAGATTCAATGAGCTGCACAAATAATGAGAACTGTGAAGCTATACTATGAAAAGCTAAACGAGACGTTGGAGGTGTCAAAGAATAAAGATGCTAAGCTAAAGATTAATTGAATGATAATCCATACTGAGTTCTGACCTGATACAAGGAGTTTAGAGTATGCAATGACGACTCCTGGGACACAATCCCACTAGCATGTTGATGAAGTAAGCTTTTTATCCATGGAAGAGCACATGCCAAAACTGCACCCCTACAGTGAGTTAACAGAACATGGAAAGCACTGAGATTGAGATACAGTCGATATGCTTATTCTTGAATTAGACTGCATTATCCAACACCATCAAAATCATTGGTCCAACATTAAAGGATCCAACTTTCTAATCTCCTCTCAAACAAGACAAGTAATTTTAAAAGTAAATCATTAGATCAACTTGTCCAGGTTAAACAACTAATACCATACCTTGACTGGATCAAAGATACAAGAGAATGTAAAAGTATAAGAACATCAGATGGATTTAATAGCAAGACTGAATTTTCAATAACCTGAAAAGGAAAATTTATCATCATGTCAGTTAATATCATTATATATCTCTTAGCCTAGGTGAACTTAAAATGGGAAATGACCTTCTCATCTAGGGTGTACAAGCAGTCTAATAGAAGTGCATGATCATCAGCATGTAATGCTTGCCTAAGCAAGATATTGACCGAGTCTGAAAATGAAGGCTTTGTAAGACGCGTGGATTTTTCTCTTTCTTCATTTCCATGGGTAGCTTTACCATCATCATCTACTATATTCAAACTTGCAAGCTTCTCACCCATGGTTGGCTCACTCAAATCATCAACAAGGACTCGTTCCATGTTCTCACCCTGACCTATTTCAAAACCACCACCAAGTAGATTTGAGATGCCAATGCAAGTGCCTAATCTAGCAAGTAGCAACTACATGTATGACATTGATAATTAGCTAGCTGAACATACTCCAGAATGCCATAGCATCCCCTGAAGCGGCAAAATACAAAGGTGAACATGTGCACCCATCCTCCAGGAGTATTGAAAACAATGAAAATTTATTAATTCCATCATACCATATTTCAACCCTCTAAAAGTTCCAATCTTTTCGTTAAAATTTCAGTTTCTGAAAAGCTGAAAGATTGCAACACCATTTCTACATCAAAACGAACAAGAATTTCACCATGAAACCTCAAACCCAGAAAGAGAAGTCTCCAAGTTCACATAAAACATAGGGAAGACAAGAATTTAGTTGCAGGTGATAGTTACCAATGACAACGAGACGCTTGTCCGATTCGGCGGCGTTGCTCGGTTCCGAGATCTTCCGACACTTTATCTTCCTCCGACTCCACCAGTGTGTCCGTTGTTAGGATTTTTGGGTTTTCCTTTTGGGCCTGTGAAATTTTGGGTTCATGGGCCAAAACCAGACTGTTGTCTTTTTTATTCCAATGTGCAACCACCTGACAAATATGGGCTGGGTCCATTAGACTCAATGGGGATCAGATAACCACAGCCATGCCCATGCCCATGATGCTACAATCCAACATGGTTCGATAGACCCCACCCATTGCACAGGTCTAGTCCGTCAAAGTGTTAGTGTAGTGTGTAATCAGGTTGGGTGTGCAGTTACTCTCACACTTTGTGCCTTCTAGAATGACAATTCAGATGTTGGGCCAAGGCCCATGGCCCACTACATTCAAGCTTAGGTGGAGTAAAAAATAGTATTAGGAGAATGATTTATTTCATGATTTGGTGATTGCTTAGCTCAAATCAAAACGTGCACAAAGGTTGTATCCACAGATAATACCTCTACTCTTATATGTGACTGATTCCAAATTCCAAAGTCAATATCGTAGAAAGTCAACGGCACAAGAACATAAAGGAATAAAATTCTTTATACCTATATAAGTTAGAAGGATAGTTGTTAAATAAAGATCATATGTCTAAATCGCCTAGTTAATAGGTTCATTTGTCCTTATTTTTTATTGGAGAGCGGATTTATCCTTATCACCTAAGTTGGACGCTGGATTTGAGTATTCTATTTTTCTTCTTACATTATCATGACATGGTGCATGAATTTTTCCTGTGAGTTGATGTTTCTTTTTCCTTCCCTGAATTTGGTTTGATTCAACGCAAAATTCTTGCTTTCACATTGGCTTTTTTGCTTTTGTTGAAGAAAAGAGGGAGAAAGACAAGGGATTTTTTTTCCCCATAGGCAAATAGCTCTTATTTTCCTCAACAAATCAACGTGACCCCAAGAGCGTTTTGAGGCCATCTTTTATTTTGAAAAATATCTCATGTTGTTTTTGTTTTCTTCTTCTATACAACTAAAATCAATATATTTGTTTTTTTTTTTTTCCATGTAGTTTCATTTATTTTCATCTTTCCTTGTTCGGTAAAACAAGTTTCATTTGGGTGATAGAATGGTTTTTGAATCTTCTGTGAGGAAAATTACCACATAATTGGTCATCATCTAATGGTTTTTATGCTTGAACTTCTAAATTCACCCCTTTCTTTTTTCTTTTCTTTTTTTTTGGTACATTAAAAAAGTTAATTACTTGATATTGTCGGATTTTAAATTCCTAAACTTATTCCAAATTAACTTTTTTAATTAGTAATATTAACTCAGTCAAACTTTTACTAATTTAATTAATCTTGTTTATTGATGGTTAAATCTCTTAAACTGCTAGTTTATACCCATTTAACCCATTGTCCTAATAGTTTCCTCAATCCAAAGTAGTAGTCATGGACCCAAATGCGCAATGGCACCAAAAAAAAAAAAAAAATGGACCCACCTATTTACATCATTAAATTAATCATTCTCCCAATTTAAACAAGATAAGGGGGCTTCTTTAGCATTCACAGACACGTAGTCATGTATGTCTTGTTGTTAAGTTGGATCTTAATCAATGATAAGTCATGTTTGTCCTTATATTAACTTGGATCTTAATCAACAACTCATGAGGTTTAGGGACCTCAATAATTATAAACTAAATTTGGAGACTAATTAATGTGAGAATAAATAGAAGCATCCATGCTGTTGAGCTTCTGATTTTAACTAAATTGAGGAAGAAAAAAACAACCACTGAGCTGAATTCGATATTGATGCTCGTATTTTTGGCAAGCATTTATTGAGAGATTCTGCTCTGGTTATGAACTTCCATTCAAAATCATAATCATAATGTACTTTTGTGCTGATAAAAAAAGAAGAAGAAGAAAAGATAATGTACTTTTTTGATGATTTAAAAAGATTATGTTTTGATGGAACTCAACTCTCCCGCTTGACTGGATCGACCCCATGTGCTGTGGTCGAGCATCGGGTGTTCGATGTATTGGAATTGGACCCTCGAGAATAAACTATTTGAAATTTTTTGTTTTATAACTTAAATTTATTAAATTATAAGATAACAAATTTTAAAATATGAAAAAGTTTTTAATACTAAGAAATTTATTCGTTATTTAATAATATAAGTTATGTATGGTCTAATTTAAGCTACACAACACAATTTTAATTAGGTAAATTGTTTTTTTTTTTATAAAAAAACTAGGGTAAAAAAGAGGAGGAAGAAGACGGCAATGGAGGCAGGCAGCCAGGCACATTTTGGTCCATATATTGAGCAAAGTACAAACTCCATGGAAGCTCCCTACTGTTCACATGAGGTGCTCATTGATTTGGATTCTCATAAGAAATTGTTATTGCCATATAAAAATTTTAATATTTTTTTAAATATTAATTTTAAAAATGTTTTTGAATATTATAATTAATTATTAAAAAAATTAAATTTGTGTAATAATAATCACACCTCTCATTCAATCATATCATACCCTTCATTATTTCAATGCATTTGGTAAATTATACAATAAAAATAACTTTTTTTTTTCTCAAATTTCTTCTCCCCATTGTCATACTTTTAAGTTTAATTCCTACACTATATATGACGATAAGAAAGAGTGAGAGATAGCCATACATGAACCTTAGACCAACTGATCAAGGGGTCCACAAGTTGCTTGCCAGCCTTAGGGACTTAAGGGTTAAATTTTTGAGGCATCTAAACCCACCTCCTTAAAAGGACATGTTCTTTATTATCACATCTTTTTATGCCAAATAAGAATAGGTGAGGGTGCATTGTGGTGGGTGGGTCCCTTGTCTCCATAGCCATGGATTTTGACAGCATTTTAAAGTTAAGTAGCAATTTCAGTTACCTCACTTAAAAACACATTAATTAGTTGGTCCATCCACCTCCAACAAACTAATGCCGAAACCATTTTCCCTAAGAAAATGATGGAATTGAGAGGTTTCAAAATATATATAATGAAGCTAAACTTTACCATTCATCTAGGAAACAAACTCAGTATAAAATGTATTATACAAAGATAACATTCTTCCTTTCTAACTCTCTTCCCTTTCTGTTGGTTACTAAACAATTTTTAATTTTCAGTGACCTACAAAATTGGGTTTTATTTTCATTACCCCTTTTGTTTTGCTTTTTTAAGTGCTAACATATTTTATATTGGTAATAGCCCGTTTGGTGAGTCCTAATTAAACATAATTGGTTACTTCTCTAGAGTCTAGACTAAATCAATGCAAAAAAAAAAAAAAAGAAATTCAAATATTTGTCTTGTTCAATGCTGACCAAAAGAAGAGAACGGGAGTAGTTGGCCAAAGTCAGATTATTATAGTGCTTTTATTTTATTTTTAATCGTAAATAAACTCTTGAAAGTAGGTCCTCTTTCATGCTTGAATTTGCCTCTTACTACCCTTATTTTATGATTTGACTGTTGCGAAGAAACCATGCATTCAATTAATCACATTTTATTATTGTAGTTTAAATTATAAAATATTAATTATTAATAATTTAAATAATTTAATAATAATTTTTTTATTAAAAATTAAAGACTTAAGTTTTGAATTTTTGAATCTAATGATATGCGAATAGAATAAAATAAAAGATAAAAAAAATAATTTTTATTATATAATTAAAATAAAAAATTATAAATCACTAATTATATATATTTAAACGTAAATAAAAATTTTTCTTATTTTAAAATAAAAGTTAACCCCCTAACATTTAATGATTTTTATTTTATCTAATAATTAATATTATATAATTTAATAAAATACAGAAAAAAAGCAGTTTTTTTTTTTCTCATGAAAGGAAATGGAATTAGAAAGAAATTAACTGCACCTGTTTGCTGAAAAACCCGTGGAAAAATTATTTTTGACTTTCAAAGTCTTTCAAGGGTGTCACGGGTGGAGAGGCTCCACTCATCAGACGGTCCTAATCACTCTGTCCAGATCCTTTTATGATTTTTTTAAAGATATTATCAGATAATTATCCGATAATCACATTAAATTTTGATTAATTTGAAATCAAATAAAAAGAAAAAATTTATAAATATTTAATTTCAAACCAATGATCTGTTGATTCGAATGGAAAAAGTTAAATTCCTTTCAAATAAAATCTCGAATTCAAATTTTGTGAATGAAAAAACATACATTAAAAGAGTTTTCACCTAATGAAATTTGACATGATTCGATTTCGGATTAATAAAAATTCAACGTAGATATGAGGTTAATACAAAAAAAAAATATTTTTATTTATAAAATTCTAACAACTTTAGAATTTTATTTGAGGGAATTAAATTCTCGAATAGGTGGTTGACATAGGTTCTTCTATTATGCCACCTGAAATCCCATTGGCGATGCACCCTCCTCGTCCCATGCACACGCGAACACCACATCCTTCCCCTCCCCCCAATACAATTATTACTGTACAGTCTTACTTACCTTCATTAACACGTTAACCGTCGGTAAATCCACAACGCAGACAACAGTCACCTGCCTCAGGTGAATTCCGTCCAGTTAGATACATAAACTCACCAATTTCCCAGAAACAGACAGAACAGTTCAAAAGACCTCATCTAGTAAATATCGAACACGTGGCATAATTATCCACGTGTTTTTTACGTTCGTCTCTTACAGAGAACTGGACGTGGGCCCATATTCCTATGTGTACTACTTACCACTTTCTCTCTCTTCCCACTGAAACCGCGTTTTATATTATATACGATCTCTTTCTCTCTCCTCGAAAGGCTCTCTCCTGAATTTCTCGGTTTGCTTTCTTGGCTACGTTTCTCATCCTCTCTCTACCCAGCGTTCTTCACAGTTGTCTCAGGGTTTCAGCAGCTCAATATTTCTCGGCAAGTTTTTATCTTTTTGTTCTGTTAATTACAAGTGAATTTAATTTTTTTTATTACAAGTTGTTGCCTTGAGTGTTGGGAATTGTCTGATTGAGGAATTTTGAAGTGATAGAATAAAAGGGTGGCTTTGATTTTGGTTTTGAGGTGATTGCTGAGAAATTTGTTGGTTTTGGATATGTTGGCAGCTCCTGTTTGGATCCGTGGATGTCTTGGTGTATTGTTTTTGGGCTCTTGGGCCGCACAGAGAGGACGAGTAGGTGAAATTTGACCGAGGGTTGATTGTTTTTAGAGTGTTTTGGATGATAATTTCAGAGTAGATCGATCTTTTGGGTTCTTGTCTGATTTCCGTACTTGGGTCTGATTGAATTGGAATCTTGTGGGTCTTTTAAATTTGATGAATGGATGCTAAATTTGGAGGTAAGGCTCATCATTTATATGGTTCAGTGGTACCGGAATTGAAGGCAGTTGGGAAAAGGAGTTTAGAATGGGATTTGAATGACTGGAGATGGGATGGTGATCTTTTTACAGCTACTCCATTGAATTCAGTGCCATCAGATTGTAGGAGTAGACAGTTTTTCCCTACTGAGCCTGAAGTTCATGCCAATGCTGGTTTGTCAAACAGTTCGTCTTCTTGTTCAGATGATAACAATCCTAGGAATGAGAAAGGGAAGAGGGAGTTGGAGAAGAGGCGGAGGGTTGTGGTTGTTGAAGATGAGGATGTAAATGATGAAGCTGGCTCTCTTAATTTTAAGCTAGGTGGTAACATTTACCCTATCACAGATGGAGATGGAAAGAGTGGGAAGAAGACTAAGGTCACAGGGATTGCTTCAAATCGTGCAGTTTGTCAGGTGGAGGACTGCAGGGCTGATCTTAGCAATGCAAAGGATTATCACCGAAGGCATAAGGTTTGTGAGATGCATTCAAAAGTGAGTGAAGCACTGGTGGGAAATGTGATGCAGCGGTTCTGCCAGCAATGTAGCAGGTGGGTTGAATTATTTTACTATCTTTGATTGTGAGATGAATGGCAAGAACCTTTTAGCATCATTTTGTTTCGTGAACCTAATCATTGTAGTGATGATACATTGTTTATAAATTTTATTATATTGAAGTTACGTTTGTAAATTTTAACATGAATATTATCATAGGTGATACTGTGTTTGGTTGTTATATTCCATAATCATAGTTAAATGCTGTTTTAGGGTTTAGTCTATGTTGCAGAAAAATTTTTTCCCCTCCATTTAGCTGCAACTGGCTTATACTTATGGGCAGGTTTCATGTTCTTCAAGAGTTTGATGAAGGGAAGAGGAGTTGTCGCAGGCGTTTGGCAGGGCATAACAAACGTAGGAGAAAAACACATCCGGATAATGGAGCAAATGGAGGCTCCCTGAATGATGAAAGGAGTAGTAGTTATCTGTTGTTAAGTCTGTTGAGGATTCTCTCCAACATGCATTGTAAGTAGCTGCTCTGCCTCAAGTCTGATTATGCTGCTTTAATAACAAGGCAGTGAATGCTGGTCTTTTCATGTGTGATAGCTGCTGCTGCTCTATTTGGGGCACTGGCTTCTTGTGGGATTCTTGTTCTAAGTTCTTGAACACTTATTAGTATTGATATATCTCTTGAAGCAATCTCTTGGTAGAATTGTTGACAATATTTTGTGTATTGATGCATTATATGTTTTTTCTGTTCTCTTCCAACTATTTTCTACTTTCTGTACTTAAGTTTATTGACTTCTGTAAGTGCAGCAAATAACTCTGATCAAACGAAGGATCGAGATCACGATCTGCTTTCTCATCTCTTGGGGAGTCTGGCTAGTCTTGCTGACCCAGCTAACGGGAGGAACTTATCTGGATTAATTCAAGGCTCTCAAGGTACGATGGTTGCAGGGACGTCACTTGGGAATCTTGAAAAGGTGAAAGATGTGGTTCCTAATTGCACTGAACCCTCTAAGGCTTCTGGTTCAGCCTGTAAAATAGATGAATGTGCTAAAATCCCAGACCGTCTGAGGCCTATGGGTCAAGGTGGGAATGTACCTGATCCTGAAGCAGCACAGAGAATAAAACTCACTGATAATTCCCAAGATGGAAGGCTACTAGCAACATCCAGTTCACCATCAACAATACCCATTCCATCAGAAGGGAGCCTTCCAGCTAGATCAATTGAAGCAGGGGTTACAATTGAAGGGATCAGAATGAATAATATTGACTTGAATAATGCTTATGACGATTCACAAGACAATGTAGAGAACTTACAGATATCTCATAACCTAAAAAATCTTGGAAATGGGTCCTTATACAGGTCTTCGTGGATAAATCCAGAGTCACACAAATTGAGTCCACCACAGTTGAGTCAGAACTCCAATTCAACTTCCAGCCAATCACCATCTAGTTCCAGTGGAGAAGTCCAGGTATGTAACTTCTCTCTTTCATTCTTACCATAGTGGATGGTAGAGATGACAAATTCTGGCTGACTCAAAGGCATCTAACCCTTGTTGTTTTAAGCCATCACAATATGTGGACAAGCTGAACCTTTTTAACATTTTAGTGCTTTATGTCGTAAGAATTATTACTCCTGCACTTTGGCAATATATATATATATATATATATATGCAAAGCTATTGGATAGTTTTGAAAGTACTTCTTTTTTTCACTTGACTGATCATTTGTTCAATTTTCAGTGTCGGACGGATCGAATTGTTTTTAAGCTCTTTGGGAAAGACCCTAGTGATTTCCCCATTGCTTTGCGGAGACAGGTAAGTTAAAGATTGTTTGTATGCAAGATCTATTTGATATTCTTTGCAAAAATGATTTCATTTTGGGAAAAATATCAAACTTCCAGATCGTTGATTGGTTGTCCCATAGTCCCACGGACATTGAGAGCTACATAAGGCCTGGCTGTATTATATTGACAATATATCTTCGCTTAGGCAACCCATTGTGGGAAGAGGTATGCTTTGTTCCGCAGATAGAAAAATTGGTAGTCTTATCCTTAGACCAAGAGAAAGTTCTGCTTATCTTCTCAATCACTGTTTACATTGCAGCTATGCTTTGATCTGGGATACAGTTTGAGAAGGCTAGTTGATGGGTCCAACGATTCTTTTTGGAGAACAGGATGGGTGTATGCTAGGGTGCAGAACTCAGTAGCCTTTATCTATAATGGTTATCTCTCTCTCCGCCTCTCTCAATTTGTGTATGCATTCATTTAGTGCACCTGAACATTTTGGAGGCACCTTGGAACATATTTAGTATTCTGCTGTGACAATACTAATAGAAGAAAAGAATTTGATTTCTTCTATCTGTGCTGCAGGTCAAGTTGTTTTAGACACCCCCTTACCTCTAAAAAGCCATAAAAATTGCAGGATCTCAAGCATCAAACCAATTGCAGTTCCAGTGTCAGATACAACTAAAATTGTAGTTAAAGGCTTTAACCTTAACCAGTCCACCACGAGGTATTTATTTGGTTCTCTTGTGTGCATCAGTAGTACATACCTTTTTGTTCTGTATGGATGGAAAGTCAGATTTTTTAACTTTTGCTATTTTAAAAGGTTCATAAAGAAATGAATAGTAAATTTATTAGGGTCTGTGGACAATTACTAAAGATCCTTCCTTCTGATTCAGGTTACTCTGCGCAATAGAAGGAAAATATCCAATGCAGGAAACTTGTTACGATTTGATTGAGGGTGTTGATGTGGTCAATGAGCATGATGAGCTCCAATGCCTGAGCTTCCCTTGCTCGATACCAAATGTATCTGGAAGAGGATTCATTGAGGTGCTGTCATCATATGGTGTTTTCTTTTTTTTTTTTTGATCGGCCATCATATGGTGTTTTCTCTCCATGTTCTGTTTTTTTGGTTTTCAATCACTGAGGTCTACTGTTATCTTCAGACTAGTAAAATTTTGTTCACCATGGGCAGAAATCATTTTGTTCATGCATGCATTTACTTTTCTTTCCCATATCTCTCTAAAACAAGGATTCTGGTTATTTGATTCTGTTAGGTTGAAGATGATGGACTCAGCAGCAGCTTCTTTCCATTTATAGTTGCAGAGCAGGAAGTCTGTTTTGAGATTTGCACCCTAGAGGGTGCAATAGAGGCAGCTGAAGCTGCTGTTGACATTCAGAAAAAACCTGAGAATTTAGAAGCGAAGAATCAGGCACTGGACTTTTTACACGAAATGGGTTGGCTTCTTCATAGAAGTCACTTAAAGAGCAGGCTGGGTCACTTGGATCGCAGTTCATATCTCTTTCCTTTCAGGAGGTTCAAGTGGCTTATGGAATTCTCCATGGACCATGACTGGTGTTCTGTAGTAAAGAAACTACTGGGGATTCTGTTTGATGGAACAGTTGATTTGGGGGATCACACCTCTATTGAGTTAGCATTGTTGGATTTGAGTCTCCTTCACAGAGCTGTCAGACAAAATTGCAGGCCCATGGTGGAACTACTTTTAAGATACGTCCCTAGTAATGTATCAGGGCAGAAGAAAGTGGAAGGTGGCTGCAACAAGTTCATATTTAAACCCAATATTGCTGGGCCAGCTGGGTTGACTCCTCTTCATATCGCAGCTAGTACAGAAGGCTCTGAGAATGTCCTAGATGCCTTAACTGATGATCCTGGATCGGTATTTTCATTAACTCTCTTTGTATATATCCTGAGTTTCTTACTTTGTGCATAACAATATCCTTGATGCATTTGGTACTTCTTCAAACCACTGATTTGCTATCTAATTACTTGATTCCTCTGTGATTACTGGCTGATCAATATCTTAGCAATAGCTCTCTGTGTGTGTGTGTGTGGATGTCTTTATTGGAGGCACTTGTTTGTTTGTAATTTTATCCTAAGATCCAGCAATTTCTAGTTTGTCTCACTGCTAGTGCTGATTTGACTATGCCTTGCTCAGGTTGGAATTGAAGCATGGAAAAGTGCTCGTGACGGTACAGGTTTGACACCTAATGATTATGCAAGCCTCCGGGGCCATTACTCCTACATACATCTAGTCCAGGGGAAAATAAACAAGAAATCAGAACATGGACATGTGGTGGTGGATATTCCCAGAACCCTTTTAGATAACAACTCAAAGTTGAAACTCCCAGGTAAGCCTAAATCAGCAAGAGTAGTTAGTTTGCAAACAGAGAAAATCGAAGAGATGAGGGGAATCCACCACAACTGCAAGGCATGTGAACGAAAGCTTGCTTATGGACACCATGGAACATCCCTTGTATACAGACCAGCAATGCTGTCGATGGTGATCATTGCTGCTGTGTGTGTGTGCATGGCCCTGCTCTTCAAGAGCCAACCTCAAGTCCTTTACGTATTCCAGCCATTCAGGTGGGAAGCTCTCAAATATGGGTTTATGTAAGGTAAATAGCATATCATGGTTATTAGTTCCAGGAATTATTTCCCATCCGAACCATTATCTTACCTTTATAAGAATGTACAAGTGCTGCCGATTTGTATGGAGATAAATCCAAGTCGGAAATATTCAATTTATGTATCTGTTCCACTTCCAGTAATACCATATATTAGAGGAAATGTGCAAATGTATAATTGCCATTGCCATTAGCATGCAAATGCTCTAGAACTAGTTCTAGACACCTTCATATTGTTACAAAACTCAAGAAGAAGAAGTCTAGAATATATGTGGGAATCGATCAAATTCATTAAACGTTACTCGAGCCTTTGGGTTGATCTTCAGAAGCAAAACTGGAGAAAATTTGGTTTCTTGTTTTTCTTCTTT